ACATATTTTGGATTTCCTACTTAGTAAAACTTGGTTTAATTTAGGACCTCATAAAAATGCGAATACATATTCTATTACAATTGGTTCCTAACTTGATTCATTGAAGCGTCCAACAATGACCGTCATGATGGCTTCAATATTTCTAGGACACAAATCTTGGACGGTTGTGACATCACTCATGAAATTGAAACTCCTTGTGTACTGGACGTGAAAAACAGTTTTCTTTGTTATAAGTTTTGTGAGAGCTGATATCTGTACTCTTGTAATTTTTCATGTGGTAATGAGATTGATCAGAATTAAGGTTTCCTCAGCGATTCAACTTCAAAGCGCTAAAAATAAATGCACACACAAAAACGCATCAATGTTATGGAACATTTCATAGTTGATCGGGATGATATCAATTAGCCATCCCAAGTAACATTGTAAGTTTTATAGTGGTTTAAAAGCACGCTTCAAGTCTAAATCATGGTCTACAGAACCCTCATAAACCAACATTGTTACTTGGGATATGTATCATTTGGCATAAGAACACGGGGCGTTTCTGTGGTGGGAAAAAAAGTGACTTCCATATCTATCACAGATTACAAATTCGACACTGAGCACACATAAGGACGTAACCACGATGATCGATTTTATCTTTTGTTAATAACTCACTTGGATTAACATTTCTCGGTGCGTTTGTTGTTGCTTTTGATAGCCATTACAACCTGTTACAGCACAACATTGAACCAGTTGCAGATAATATTCAAGCTGAACATTGAATTAGATCCTCCTGATCGATTCTCTTCGTCGACTTTCTCTTCGTTTAGGCTGTGTTCCATTTGGAAAATTTTCACTTAGATTTGACACTTTGAACATAAATTAAGATGTTCGAAAATCCCTCTGTTGTTGATCGGCCAAAAATCTTTTTTTTTTCACCACAAAAACACCCGGTCCCGTTTGCTTAAAGGGCGAACACGAAATTATTGCGACACCGAAAATGTCATGCCAATTTTCTTATAATGTTTAGAATCAAACCAAAATTTTAGGGTAGTTTTATACATATATTTACTTCAAAAATCAAAAGAAAAGTTAATCGATGGAGCCTTGAGTGTAAAATTGAACGCATTTTCGCTTGATGCGCTCCATCAAAGTCCTTCTCGTAGAGCTTCCGTGCCCGAGTTTTAGCCGTCGATTGTTGCCGCTCATCGCGGTTTGGGAAGTTCTGTACCTTGTATGTATGTAGTCCAGCTCTCTTCTTTGCATTCTGGACGTAGCTCTGTGACATGCCGATCTTTTTAGCCAAATCACGGCTTGAGACGTTGGGATTTGCTTTAATCATCCGCTTCACCTTTCCCTCCGTCTTTTTGTTCTCCAGTCCCGGTTTTCTTCCAGCTCCTTTGCCGTGGTCCAACGTCAACCGCTCCTGGAACCGCTTCAACACTCTGGAGACGGTTGAATGGTGAATGTTCAACATTTTTCCCAACTGCCGGTGCGACAGGTCAGGAAATTCCAGGTGTTTGGAAAGAATTTGTTCTCTCAACTCGCGTTGGTTCACCTCCATTTTCGTTGAATCGAAAAACACGACTTCAAGTTTGACAGCATGTACACAATACACATCAATGAGAAAGTGTGCAAAATTTGGTTGATTTTTACCCAATGGTAAAAAAGTTATGCCCTGTTGAATGTGTCGCAATAATTTCGTGTTCGCCCTTTACACTCTATATTTTTCGGTCTCCAATTTTCTTGCATTGGACCGCAGCTAGGTATATCGCATCCTCGGTTCATGCGGTCTCCACTAAAATCCTCTGATGATGAATCCCTCATAATTGTAAGCGAATCATACATCCCCCGGTTGGGTGTAGATTAAAGATGTACCGAGAATTAAATGGAGGGATTTCAAGCTTAAATGTTATGATCGCGAAATATTGACGATCAATACCGAAATTTCGCGTAAATGTCCAACCCGTTTAATGTGGTGTGCTGCTGATTTGCAGTGTTGCCCAATGATTAGGGAACTTTCATAAGTAACGTAGTAGTTGAGGGAGGAGAGAGGTTCCAGAAGTTGGGACCGGCCATGTATTAGGTGTATTGCAAAACACGCTCCGAGGGGGAAGGGGGGTTAATTGGTCAAATATGTACGTAATGTATGGATGGCCGTTATTTTACTTTGGAGGAGTTATCGAATAACCCTGACTGAGTTCTGTTCGGAACAATGAAAATAACTTTCGAAATATCACGTTAAACCGCGAGTTAAATTTAACTCGGCAATTGGTACACAGCCCAAGAAGTATTTCTCGATTACTTTTTCGAAGGGACGTATCCGCTTTTGTAAACAACGCATTTGATCATCGATTTGGCGTAACTGGTAGCTCACCCACGCATGCTAGCACTACCATCAGATAGAGGAAATTTTCCCTTTGGTTTTATTATGTGGTTTTATTATGTGGGGGAGCTATCGTTGTTTACAAAAGCTGATGTGCCCTTTCGAAAAGGTAATCGAGATTTGTAGTTATCATTCAGGCAACGAGCGCTTGCATCATCGAGGCGACGCCGCTACCAGCAACCAATGATGTCAACGGGAACGACGCGCAAAGTTCGAGGTGCAAAACTCGAACGCTGCGCGCTTGACAGGAACCGCCTTCCTACTGCTGCTACTGCTACTGCTACTACCTGTTTAGTGTTTACCCACCGTCCAAAGCGAAAATGAGTTGAAGCACATTAGCAGTGCTGTTCTATAGCTTTTCAGATTCAAGAACCACGATGTGATACCAAATGGTACTCGATTATCATGACTGGGTTTGGGAACACGTTTATTTAATGAAAACAGTATTTGTGCATTTTAAAACAGTTTTTATGAAAAATTTAAAAAAAAGCATTCATTGTAACAGCTTACGAGAGTTGTTTCCTATCGATTGGCGTATTTGGATTCGAATTTCATCTATAAATGATAAAGTTATATGCGTTCAAAACCTTACACCTTTTCGTGATGGTCACAATTTTAGATTTTCGATTTACCCTCAGTACCTTCCCGTAAGACGTAGTCTACGTCAAAACAAATAACTCTAAGTTCATCTAATGTAATTAGGTGAAAACCTTCAAATCTACAACTACTATTAACTAGCTGTTTTATTTCGTGATGAACCTGACCAATTCAATGGATTGATTAATAAATGAAACACTGTCGACAAAATAATCATTAAATTTAGATGCAATCACTTGTTCTGACTGTTCTAATGTGCCATTAAAAGTTATGGACCGCGGTATGCAATTACTAGGTTTTAAAATTTTCCACAACTCTTTGCTGTTATTTTGATGCTGATCAATCTTGCTTTGAACATTTTCACAACGAGTTTTCTTTATCGATTGTGAATACTTATTACGCGTGATTGTGTACCTATTCCAATGATTGTCATTATAAGATCTACAAAACTTTTTGTACCATTTGACCCTTTTCCGTTTAAGACGCAAAAGATCCAAATTGTACCAGCTGCTCGAGTTTTTCAAAGAAACAAGCTTTTGCTCAACTAGTTGATTGGTACACGTTTTCAAAGCGTTACTAAGAACAGCTGTAGATTTATCTAAATTACCGGCTGCGAATGGAAAATCCAGGCTTCTCTCAATAAGATTCGAAACAGCTTGCTTCGAATATTTCCTCCAGCACTTCAATTTTACAAAATTATCGTTATCGTTAGCATGGCCTAAGACATTAATCACTAAGGTCTCATGATCGGTTAGTTTCAAATCAGTATCTGTAACTGAACGAATGGAATCAAAATTGGAATTAAAGTGGTCAATTAAAGTTGTACTGTGCTCGGAAATACGCGTATATTCATCTACCATTGGTTTTAAATTGAAAAAAAAAAAATCAGTTAAACGCTTTAAATAATTCGAATTATGGTTATCAGGCAAATTAATATTAAAATCACCAGCCAATATATTTAATTTACTAGAATCAAGGAATGTCTCGAGCCAGTTCTCTAAAACTTCAACAAAACGCTGATCACTAGAACTAGGAAAATGATACAAAACATCATAATTAACCATCTTCATGCCACGTACAACTGTAATGCCCAAGAAGCAGTTGCCATCAATAACTTCGTTGGTACGAAGCTCGAATTGAACTGATTCTTTGACATAAATAGCAACACCGCCAGTGTGTCTAGAATGTGATAAACAAGCAGCAACAATATATCCCGGAATACAAGTTTGGGTTTCAATCTTTAATATTTACTAAATTAGGAGGGGTAGCTTTCTTTTACCTTTACCGTGGCTTAAATAATATTAATAAATAGAAAATAATGTTTAAATACCACCGTATAAATGATACGTAGCCCTTTTTGCACTGAATAATATTGATTGACGGTTGAGGGGTGACACCCAAACCACCCGCCCGGGTGTCACCGAGTCACGCTACGCCCTTGCACCTAATTTGAGACAGATTTTAGTGTCCGAGATTAACTCCATAGACAATTTAAAGTACAGAGCAAGTCAGCTACCTTGCCGGTGATTTGTGGAAGCAGTGTCCTATCATCTTAACATTGAAAACAATAATATTAGTGATACGAGTTTTGATAACCAATGCTGTAGTATTTGCATCAAAACACACCACACACTTAACAAGTGACATATCGTGTACTCTCATTTACACATATCGCATGCTTTGCTCCACTGTGCCACTGCTATGGATAATCATACACTGAAGAACCGGTTCTAGAGGTTCTCCCGCCGGTAATTGATCTTTCGAACGTTGCATGCGTTCTTTTCTCAGCCGCACTGAAAGTAGATCAAACCGGGCCAGACATTGCATAATACTATAGAGAAAAAAAAACATTGACACCCTGTGACTCGCGAATCGAAAGGCCCCTGGTGGGGTGGTCCTTGAAAAGTTCTAAAAACCAGTTTGCCTTTTATCATTAGCTCTGACCTGACAACAATGGGTGGAGCATATCGAAAAGTAAATCCGAAAGTAACCTCCAACCTTGACAATCACGTGCTTTCCTTTTGCCTTGTATTTGCAGAGAGTTGCCAAAATGCTGAAGATTGCGTTCGTTGCCGTTGTGGGCCTGCTGTGTGTGGTCCAGAGCGTCAAGGTCGACTACTACGGGTCCCTGTACAGACAGGACGAGCTGCACGCCCCGTACAAGAGTGCCAAGGAACCGAAGCAGGACTTTAGCAAGATCCCCGGCGAACCCGGAGTAGACTACCCGATCTACCACGAGGTCCCACATACTAGCTTCAGCTGCTCGCACGTTCCAGCCATCCCGGGAATGTATGCCAACGTGGAAACCGGCTGCCAGGCGTACCACACGTGTCACGACGGTCGCGAGGGAGATCAGGGAGCTTCGTTCCTGTGCACCAACGGAACCCTCTTCAACCAGAAGGAATTTGCCTGCGACTGGTGGTACAACGTCAAGTGTGAGGAAGCCCCCGCTCTCTACAGCCTGAATGCCGATCCGGAGCACAATCCCTTCATCCCGAAGGCAAAGCCGGAGGATGAACTGGCACACAAAAAGTTCCTGATCCACGTCTAAGCCCGGAGCCGGTCTGTTTTCTCTTTATCAAAGTTTGTTTTTTGTTCTTGTTGCCCATTCGGAATTGTTAAGTTTTCCACAAAAGTTTCCTTTTTCTTTCTGCTTTTTTTTTCGTCCGGTGACGATTGTTTTGTTTCGTTTGGGATTACCGATTTTCTTCGTGCTGTTCTGTTGTTCTTTATGTTTCCGTTGTAAATATTTCGTTTTTTATGCCATTATAATGATTTCGCGGTAGTCGTAGAATGAGAAGAGGACAAAAAATATACGAGCCGAAAATGAGGAAAATTTCAAATTAGGTCTTTTTTCATTTGGTCAGGGGATTTGGATGGGGATGGGATGCGGATTGAGTCGAGGAGTTTCTCAATTTGGATGGGTACAAATAAAGGTAGGTGCAAACTTTTCCGAGCTCATTATGCAGTGGGAAAGTTGTGTTGTGTTTGTTGCTGGCGATGCATCCAGCTAGAAGGGAAAAGATAGACTTTTGAGTGTGCTCGGTGAAGGTGAGATATTAACATGATGGATGATAAAGTTGTTTGGTACAATCACGGGTAGTTGTGATTTGTGATTAGTGGTCAGTAGGGTGTTACATTTTAGAAAGAAAAAGTACCAGGATGTATCCACATTTTTGCCAGATTGTTTTAACAGATTTTGACCAGTAACTGAAAAAAAAATGAAAAGCAGCCCTCAAATATTATTGCAGATTTGAAGAGTTAATAATTGCCTATAGGATTTGAGCTACTTAAATTATACACTCTTTGTTTGGAGAATCCGGTTTTCCTTTGGCTTGGTGCCATCATTTATGTAAATTTGTAGATTTTTGGGTCCTTTTCAGGTGAATGATTCGCTTTCAATTTAGTTGTGTTGCTCCATGAGAATAAGTTAGAGAACAGTAATCCAGGTAGGTTTAGTGATGCTTCCAAAATAATCTATTGACTGAACCTTCCAGTCCGAATAACTAGCAATGGCACCAATGGGCTGTTGTTTCCACTCATAGGAAGGCCGATTGGTGATTGTAGCCGAACATATTGAATGCCTATTGAGTAGTGGATGCTTCCCATTTGTATCCTCCATGGGACATTAACTATTTGGCGATGGTGCCAATTCATGTGTCTTTACCGATATCCAGATATCCGGCTCGAAGGACCAAAATGTTGGGGACCTCGACCTATTCTGGGTTGTTGGTGAGATTGTGGACTGTATGTGAACATCGCAGCAGATTACCAATGAGATTCATTGGTGTCCTTGATTGATTGGTGACGTTGAATTAGTGCCATTCCTGCCATGCTTTGGGTTCAAGGTTTTCGGGTGTAGTGGTAAAAATTCCATCCTTGTACGTGAATAACATCCATATGAAGCAACGCTCTCTTGATGCCAGATTGAAGTAGCTGTAGAACCACTCTTTTTTATTGATGCCGAGTTAAGAGATCTTTCTTCGTAGTTCACTTTTTAAAAAGAACTTTTAATGCTAACACTATTTATTACCGATCTTACACGTTACGCATTTATGATGAAAAAGAGGTAGAGCCTCGTGTGCTCTACCGTTTTAAAGACTAAATATGCTTACATTGCAAAATTATGTTACCTGTCTCCTATTGGTGGAGCTACGTGGCGTGATGCGCCACGTTTTCGCGCCAACCAACCTTACTGCCTGATTGGTCAATCCACCTATCAGTATTTTCCTGACGATTCCCCCTCTACTGGAAAGTCGTCCCCGACTTTCACGATCCTTGGCTCCTGCGGGATGAATCTTGGTTGCCTGATGTGGTGGTGTGTGTCGTTGTCCTGCGTTAGTCCTGAAGTCCCTGGTCCAGTAGGTCTCTCCGTGTTGATGGTTCCCGTGTTGGTTCGTCTTGGTATCCAGAAGGGCGTCGATTTGCATGGTAAGAATGAAAGAACTGTCTTTGTAGCTAATACTGCTAGGAGCACTAGTATTAGGACGATAATGTTCCAAATGAGAGCCAGCTAACCAGATGTAGTTGCCAGTGTATGTTGTCCGTAATCATATTCAGATGCTCTATATGACTCCGGTGCTCCAGATTTATTTCCTGTAAGTACTGTAAAGGCATCTTGTTTATGATTTTTGAAGAAGTTACCGTTAGTCCCGTCGTTCGAAGATAAGTTTTCTGTAATACGTCGGTGGGAGCTTTGGTCATATGCTGACAGGGAAGGGGGCCCCTAGCGGGTTCGGCCTACACGGCCTGAGCGTCTGTTCACCATGGAGGTGCGGCTCAAACAGCGTCTGACTGGCATCCAGCGGCTGAATAAGAAATGCTGTATTGTGTCAGCTAAATCTAAGATGGCAGCCCCATCTACACAATAACTGAGCGTCTGTCCACCATGGAGGTGCGGCTCAAACAGCGTCTGCCTGGCATCCAGCGGCTGAAACAAGAAATGCTTATCCCCGAAAGCTATACCCAAGATGGCAGCCCCATCACGGCGGATAGGAGACCTTAGGCTAACTACCTACTGTCCCCGAAACTTTACAACTGTTACAGAAACCAATAGAGAAAGATCACGGACTGATATTACGGCAACGACTTTTAGCGCAAAACAACGGACAAGAATTGGAACATGGAATGTACTAACGCTAGCCCAACAGGGGAAGCTGGCACAACTCGCCAGCGAGGCTCGACGCATGAAGCTCGAAATCCTGGGACTAAGCGAAGTCCGTTGGCCAAACTTTGGAGAACACAAGCTGCCGTCGGGACAGGTACTACTCTATTCTGGTACTCGAGGTGAAAACGCTCCCCGCCACCGTGGAGTTGGTTTCCTGCTTAGCGCCCAAGCAAATGCGGCGCTCATCAAGTGGGAACCTATCAATGAGAGGATAATCGTTGCCAGATTCAGAACGCGGGTTCGTAACCTAACCATAATCCAATGTTATGCGCCAACCGATGCTGCCGAGTTACAGGACAAAGAGAACTTTTACAGTCAACTGAATGCAGTCGTGGATAAAATTCCGAGAGGTGACATCAAGATCTACATCGGCGACTTCAATGCGAAGATCGGCTCCGACAACACGGATTATGAGCGTGTCATGGGGCGCCATGGTCTTGGCGAAATGAGCGAAAACGGTGAGCTGTTGGCAGAGTTTTGTGGCAATAACGACGTGGTGATCGGGGGTTCGCTCTTCCCCCATCGACCAGTGCACAAAGTCACGTGGGTTTCCCGTGATGGACATACCGAAAATCAAATCGACCACATCTGCATCAGCCGAAAATGGAGAAGGAGCCTTCTTGACGTTCGGAACAAACGCAGTGCCGACATCGCGTCTGACCACCATCTCCTCGTTGGAGAGATCCGCCTTCGTATCGCGCGGGTCCAGCGGCGGGAGGAGCGGCTCGGACGGCGATTCAACACACGCCGATTGGAAGATCCAGCAGTAAAAAGGTCATTCGTCGAGGAACTGGAGACCAGAGCTGCGGATATTCCTGATGGTGGCAGCGTAGAAGAGCAATGGACGGCGATCAAGGATGCCTTTACTGAAACGAGTGAAAACAACCTGGGCGAGCTGCGCGCTCAGAGAAAGGAGTGGATCACGGATGACACCTGGAGGAAGATAGAGGAGCGGAGAAATGCAAAAGCCGCGATAGAGCGGGCGAGAACCAGAGGAGCGAAGAACCAGGCCCGCCAACTGTATTCGGCTCTCGAGAAGGAAGTGAAGCGCTCGTGTAGGCGGGATAAGCGAGCGTGGGTGGACTCCCTAGCCGATGAAGGTGAGAAAGCCGCAGCAACAGGCGATATCCGTCTCCTCTACGATATCTCACGACGCCTGAGTGGAGCAAGGATGAATCCTAGGATGCCAGTGAAGGACGCGACTGGTCAGTTGCTCACCGACCCCACTGATCAGCTGAAACGCTGGTTTGAACACTTCGAACAGCTTCTACAAGTTTCGTCGGTCAACCAGCCATCAACATCTCGGCATGAACCGCCAAGAGTGCGACGCATCACTCGCGTCAATTCTGAGGCGCCATCCCTACCGGAGATCGAAGCTGCTATCCGAACCATGAAATCCAACAAGGCTCCCGGGGTCGATCGCATATCAGCAGAGATGCTCAAAGCTGACCCCATGCTATCTGCACAAATGTTGCATCAACTATTCTGCAATATCTGGGACACCGCGACTTTTCCGGCTGACTGGATGCAGGGCGTCTTAGTGAAGGTCCCAAAGAAGGGGGACCCAACTGTATGCGATAACTGGCGTGGCATTATGTTACTGTGTTGTGTTCTCAAAGTTCTATGCAAAGTTATCCTCAACCGGATACAGGAGAAGATCGACGCGACTCTCCGACGGCAGCAGGCGGGATTCCGTGCTGGAAGATCCTGTGTGGACCATATTGTCTCGCTCCGCATAATCTTGGAGCAGGTCAACGAATTCCAAGAGTCCCTTTACTTGGTTTTCATTGACTACGAAAAAGCTTTCGACCGACTCAACCACGAAAACCTGTGGGGCGCCCTAAGGCGCAAGGGAGTTCCGGATAAAATCGTCAACCTCATCGAAGCTCAGTATGAGGCTTTCACGTGCAGGGTGCTGCACAACGGAGCCCTATCTGACCCTATTCGGGTAGTCGCTGGAGTGAGGCAAGGATGTATTCTATCACCGCTACTGTTCCTCATCGTAATCGACGAGATAATGGTTGGTGCGATCGACCGTGTGCCGAACCGTGGGTTGCTCTGGCAGCCTATTACAATGGAGCATCTAAACGACCTAGATTTGGCGGATGACGTTGCTTTAGTATCACAACGGCGTTCTGACATGCAGAGTAAGCTCGACGATCTCGCCGAACGCTCCTCAGCGGCAGGTCTCAACATCAACGTCAGCAAGACTAAATCGTTGGATATCAACACGGGAAATCCATCCAATTTTACGGTAGCTGGTCAGGAAGTGGAGAAGGTTGATGGGTCGTTTACCGGCTACCTGGGTGCATTTACATATTTTTTACGCTGACGATGTGCTGATTGATTACGGCAAGCGCAAGTGGCAGTCTCTGCCGTCGTCAAATGGACCGATTCGATGGGTTTCCAGCTGTCCGTCAGGAATAGCATCCGATGCCACGTATGTCCGTCTTATCACCGAGCCTATAGCACCCCAATTACGATCCACGACCAAGCCATTCCAACCTGGAAATCAGTTCGCGTCCTCGGCGTACTGATCGACCGAACGCTCTCCTTCGACCAGCATTTCCAACAGGTCAAAAAGGACTGCCGCAGTAGGCTCAACCTCGTTAAAATGATCTCTCGGCCTCACTGATTCAACAACCGCGATGTTCGGTTCCAGTTGGCGCGACCCAT